CTGTTGAACGCCGTATTGAATAAAAATTTATGGAGACGGCACTAGTTGCCCCCCCTCAGTGTAAAATCCTCTCTCTGTTCGTGGTCCTACCATCGGACACAATTGAGGCAATAAAACAAGATTTTTTGTAGTTCAAGTGATTCAATTATTTAAACATAAATGATATGTATTCAAAATAACATAACACAACATTTTACTATAAGGGATAATTACTGGCGGATCTTATGGACTGGACCAGACTCATAAGTCTTGAGTAAAAAATTTTACGTGTTTACCTCTCGTTTTGATAATGAGAATTTTTTTAGACTTTTTAGATGTATATTTTATATTTTATGTTTGTGGAATAATCATTTGGTACTGGTAATGATAGTGAAAAATTTATAAAACTGATAAATGGTTGGGACATTTTGGTTTTTGTTTGCGAGTTTTGATTTATTTTTAATCGTTGAAAGCTTGAGCAGGCTTTTTTGGTACGGTTCATAGGACTGGCCTGTAACTACCCCATATTATAAGCATGACCCTACTTTGCAGATTTCTATAGGAGATAAGTCTTAACTGTTGCCTTATTATAGGAGAAAATGCAAGTCATTTTGTGCTAATTTTTGGACAATATGTTGAAGTGTTGAAATTGAAAATCCAACCAAATTACCGTTGAGAGCTAGAAATTTTATATGAGCAATACTATCTTTGACTTTATTCTATTTCCATTAAAATAATAACAAATAGTTTATCTCTGTCTGTAAATAGTTAGACAATTTGAACAAGTTAACGAGACCAATTTACAATGCATTCCCTATCTATCTCATGGAAGAGCATTATTGGGTCAAACTACAACCCCAATAATGTGTATTGTCAATGCTTCATGAGAAAAACACATATGATTTACACTACAATACCAATTAGTTTCGCAAATCAAGCAGTTTTTGTTAGAGCTTGCACTAGATCTTGGTTGAAAGTTAAAACCATCAACAAAAATGTAGATAAGTGTTCAAATGTGTATATTGACGTTGCAAAGAGATCCAAAGGGATGTGGTTAATCATCTTTCATTCCTTGGCAATGAAACTTGCCTAATACAACAACAGATAACATGATATTTCACCATTGTTAGAAAGTAAACGCCTTAATGACTATACTAAATAGAGATGCTATACATTATAAGAAGACCATACATGAATATAAGTGTAGATATGCTATCACTACTAATGGTACTTTTGTCTCGGTTATCTCTTAGGAACATAATCCTTCAATAATTCTCCTGGGAAAAAGACCAATCTATGCCACTTTGGTTTCTGTATGGTGGTTAGAAATTGTGAAAATACTAGGAGTGAGCATGGTCCGGATTGGGGTAAAATTAGGACCAATCCGTTATCTACGGTTCCTGAGAAACTAGAACCAATCCAATCTGTTTAAATCATGGAACCAATCTGAACCAATCTATTTAAACATGGATTGGATCGGTTTAGGATTACAGATTCACATAATTAAATAACAAAAAAAATATAGAACATTTAAAGCAAACAAAAGCAAACAGCATCATATGTGAACTGATCAACAAAAACATCAACATATAAAATAACAAAAACCCATTAAAACAGTATCACCAATTCTCCAAAATGTCATCTTATGTAACAAAATTCCAATCAAACAAATAGCAGTAGTAGTAGACAACAACAAACAAATTTAACAGTAGTAGACATTTCCCTTTCCACAAATTCTAAGCAAACAAACAGAGATAAACTGGTTTTAAAAGGGGGGCATACCTTTGAACCAGAAGGAGTTTCAGGTTGAGGATCATACTCTGGCTCAGACTGAGACTGAGAGAGGTCATGACATAATTTGTCTCTCCAGTACGCATCTATCAAACAAGAAAAAGAAATACATCAAAAAAATAAGATTAATATTATTAGAGAATAGAAATCATACCAGAAATCAAAGAAAAAATATACACGGTTTCTCTCCATACCATAGAAATCATACTAGAAATCAAAGAAAAAAAAATTATCCACACCACAGAAACCAAAGAAAAAAATAAAAACAGAAATCATATAATACACACACACCCATTTAAGATACACTATTTCTCTCCTTATATAAAAAAGTCATTGTTTTAGAAAAAAATAAAAACAGAAAAATATACACACACCCATTTAAGATAAAAATAGAAAAAAAATAAAAATAAAAACTCTTACTTACACACCCACACCAATTTCAGAAACAGAAAAACAGTGTCATCGAGAGAGAGAGAGACAGCTCACCAAGAGAAAGACAAGTAGTTCACCGATCTGATCTGAGATGGATGAGAGTGTGAGAGACAGTATCGAGAGAGAGAGAACTCAGTCTAAGATGAGAAAGAGAAGAGAGAGAGAGTACCGAGAGAGAGATAACAGTGTTAGAGACAGTGTGGCGAGAGAGAGTACCGAGAGAGAGATGAGAGTGTTAGAGACTGTGTGGCGTGAATGAATTAGGGTTAGACTTTAGCTTTTATATGAAACAATAAATTATATTACATGAGAGGGTATATAGTATAAATATAAATATAAATTATTTCTATATGGTCCAGATCAGTTCCAATCCGGAATCGTGAGATTCAATCCAAAATTGGTTTGTGACTTACGGGTTTTTAAATTTTCAATCCGAAACCAAAACACAAATTCAAAAAACCAATTCAAATTTATCAGATCAAACTAAATATCCAATTACGAATTATACTAATTTCTTGCTCAGCCCTAGAAAATACTTGTGTCCATTAAAGTAATTTACTGTTTGCTAATATACATGTTCGTTGGTTGAAATATGTTAGGGCAATGACCTCAAACCCATTGATCATCTTACTGAAATGCCAGATGACATTCTCTCTTTCATTCTCTCGTTTTTGAGTATTAGAGATTCTATCAAGGCAAGGATACTGTCTAGAAGATGGAAATATATCTGTCCATTCATGTTGAATCTTGATTTTGATCTTCATACTGTGCTTGGAATCAACTACAAAGCAAGGTACTCAAATGGAGATTCAGATATCTCATGGGAGAATAAGAGTAAGTTTGTAACTGGAGTTGATTAATTTTTGGAGCTATACAATGGTCAAAGGCTACTCACTCTCAGGATCTGTTTTTGTCTTGGTAACGAGTACGCTGGTTATGTTGATAGGTGGATTAGATTTGCAATTATAATGAAAACTGAAAAGCCAAAGTAATAACTTATATGATTTTCCCTGTCAGCTTCTTCATCAACCTCAAGGTGATTAATCTCAATTAAAGTATTTGTGCCTAAAATCATGCAACCTAAGGCCAACCCCTAATCACGTAAGCAGGCTCGTCTTCCTAAATCCCTTGATTTAGAACATGTGCCTCTAAATCAAAGTTGTGCTAATATATCTGTCCATTCATGTTGAATCTTGATTTTGATCTTCATACTGTGCTCGGAATCAACTACAAAGCAAGGTACTCAAATGGAGATTCAGATATCTCATGGGAGGATAAGAGTAAAAAGTTTGTAACTGGAGTTGATCAATTTTTGGAGCTATACAATGGTCAAAGGCTACTCACTCTTAGGATCTGTTTTTGTCTTGGTAACGAGTACGCTGGTTATGTTGATAGGTGGATTAGATTTGCAATTATAATGAAAACTGAAAAGCTTGATCTTGACTTTTCTGCTAGTCCTGAAAGTCAAAGTAATAACTTATATGATTTTCCCTGTCAGCTTCTTCTTCAACCTCAAGGTGATTAATCTCAATTAAAGTATTTGTGCCTAAAATCATGCAACCTAAGGCCAACCCCTAATCACGTAACGTGAGCAGGCTCGTCTTCCTAAATCCCTTGATTTAGAACATGTGCCTCTAAATCAAAGTTGTGCTAACAGTATCCTTTCTAGTTGTTTAAACCTTGAATAGTTGAGGCTAAAGAACAGTATTCTACCTGAAACTTTATGCATTCATGGTCCATCCCTCCATTTGAAGATTTTGATTGTGCATAAATGCTATGGAGTGGAGCAGTTTGAGATTTTTTCTATTGGTCTTACCACATTTGCATATATTGGTAAAGTGAAATACTTCTCTTTTCTTGACGTTCCTCGGCTGGAAAAAGTGCATATCAGGTTCATGGTTGCATATGAGAGGGGCACACAATATATATATGTTCAATGGAATTGCAAATGATCTTCCTCAGCTTCAAACCCTATCACTAGTTTTGACAACAGATGAGATGAAAAAAATGAAAGAATTATTACTCTTTATTGTGTACTTTTTCATTTTGTGTATGAAAATGGGATATTTTTCTATATAAAACTTTTTTCTTCTTTTCTCTTCAAGTCCTCCCAATACCTGCAAGGATAACTAGATTCAACTCTCTCAAACAATTGGAGTTGCTTGTTATGGTATCATCAGACTTTAACCTTCTCTCTCTTACTTCGCTCTTAAATGCTTCTTCTCTTCTGCATAAGCTCCATTTGTCGGTGAGTCATCAGAATCATTTTGATATTGTTATGGTGTAGTGAATTGAAAACAAATTCCTACAATTGCAATGATAGTTTCACATTTTTTTAGCAATTTCCTATAAATCATGTTACCTTTTATATATTGTTCATTTCCTTATTGGTTCATTTATCCTAGTAAAATGCAACAAATATGGGCCTCTGTGCTTGTATTTTTGTTGTAACTTGCGCTTCGTTTGTTTAAATAAAAAACATTTTTCCACCTATAAATCATGTTACCTTTTATATATTGTTCATTTCCTTATTGGTTCATTTATCCTAGTAAAATGCAACAAATATGGGCCTCTGTACTTGTATTTTTATTGTAACTTGCGCTTCGTTTGTTTAAACAAAAAACATTTTTCCATGGAAAACATTTTCTACGAAAAACATTTTCTACGAAAAATATTTTTAGAAAAAATGTCTCCCTGTGTTTGGTTGGGCTCTTGAAACTAATGTTACAAAATAGTGCCAACTTTTTAAAAATAACAACTATGGAAGACTCAAAAAACCTAAAAAAATCATGACATATTTTTATAAAATAACAAAAGTAGCCTTGTTTTTTTCAATGTCTTTTGCAAACAACCTGCGTCCGCACATTCCTTCACCCTCCCTCGCCACCTCTACAACTTCCCCATCTGCCTCCATCACTCCTCCACTCCTCTCCACCTATCTCGATCATCTCTACTTACCTCCGTCACTCCCCTACCAATATCCGCAATTTCCCTACCTACCTTTGCTACCCTCAAATCATTCCTACTCAACCCAACACCGTAGTTGACCTAAAACCTAACCACTAGAACTACCCAAAACCCAAAATTTACAAAGTGCACAATTTGGAATGGGTTTTGACAGAGGACTTCATCACCAATTGCCTGATATCTCTACATCCTTGACTCTAGTGCCTAAATTCATACTTTATGCGATCTCCATTGATGAGCTTCTTTGACACTTGCTCGATTAGGGTTTGCTTCTTTCTCAATTTTGTTATGGAACATTGTCCAATCTAGTGTTTAAAGGTTTAATGAGATATAGTCATTTATCTCATATTTAAGCCACTAAATTAGTATTTTCTCAATTTTTTTTTAACCCATTTTCTTGTATTCCTGATTGTAGGAAATAATTAGTAGTAATTATTCATTTATAATTTTTAAGCTTTTCAAGTTTTGATTGCAAACAATCTTTATGGATAAATAATATTTTGTTATTTGGTCACTATAAATAGCTTTTATGGTTGGGTTGTTTGCAGGTACATTGCTAAGACATTGTACGGTGATGATGATGAAGAGGTTACTCCTCAGAATAGCGACACAGGGGAGGAGCCAAAATGTTTAGGCCTTTACCCTGGATCAAATGAGAAGGTTTTCCTTGTTTTGATTTAACATCAATTATGTGAAAAATGAATCTTTATCATCTTCAGAAGCTTATTACTGCTTTTAATGTATGTATTGGAATTATTTTTATTTTTTAGATTCTCTTGAAGAATGGTCCTTATGGGTTCTATGTTCAGCTTGGTGAGGACAGGAAGGGATACTTGCCTAAAAGAGCCTCGGTTTCCCAAGTATGTTTAGCCTCATTTGTATTTGTAATGGGACTACTAAATTTTTGGAGCTTTAATTCCTGGCCTACTGCCATTATCTGCATATATGTAAATGCTTAAGTTAAGCATCTATGCTTTGTTTTCTTTTCAAGTAAATTAGGGATGAATACTTAGCCACTACTGGTCATTAGGGAAGTCTTGTGATGTTAATTTTCTTCCTTTTTTTTCCCCTTCAAAACAATTAACATCAAGGGATCATCTGTGGATCTGATACAAAGGGTTGGGTCATGCCTGTTTGGTTTAATTTGGTTATTCAAATCAGGCCTTCAAATTTCAAAAAATCCATACATATACAGACTGAAATCAATAAATCTAAACATAAATTTATGCATAATATTATCATAAAATCTATAAACATAAGACTGAACATAAACATATCTAGAGATTCTAAACTGCTCTTGCATGCTTTTCTCTCTTTATGCAAGCATTCATGTGCTGACACTTGTTCTCTTTGAAGAAGAATACACCTTGTGGAATATGTCTTTTATTTTGCATATTTGTGTTGTGAACTGCATGATAGAAAAAAAGATGGATTATAAAAGATTAAGGGGCATGTATAAAATTTCAAAGGGGCCAATTTGAAGAACTTTATAAGTACAGGTTAACTTGTAATTTTAAAAGAGTTGAGGGGTGGCACTGCCCCCTCTGGGCCAATGATGGCTCCACCACTGGCCACATGAATATCTTGCTTCTTCTGTTGATACCCATTTCTAGAGTGTTTTTCTTTTCTTTTGTTGTTAGTATTGTAGATGCAGATGCAGTAGTCGTCGTTGTTCTTATTATTATCTGAATCCAATAGTGTGTCATATTTATTGTCGTTAATGAATAATTTTTGTTTGTTGCTATATAGCCTCTGCTTCTTGTGTTTCATCAGTATTGAATAATTAAAAGTGGGATACAAAAAGTGCAGTTTATCAGCTCCCTATAGAATTGACAGTGGTCACATCATCCTCCCAGAATATCACTACTACTTTTGTAGTTAATTTCATAAATTCCATTAATCTTTAAAGCAATATTTTCCCTTATTCTTGACCTTGCAGGTCGTTTTTCTCACTACTTCCATTCATGTCCTTTTAGACTTCTTGATTTTTTTTGGAAGGTTCACCTGTTCCAGCATGATCCTCACTGGCTGAATAATGACTCATTTGTTATTCCTGAAAATCTTCTCTGCTTTAGGCAGCTGCCCCTCTATTCTTGCCAATGTTTGTCACATTATTCTAGAGCCAACTGTGCTTCAACCACTGAGCTGAAACTCCATTCCAGTGTCTCTGGATATCTCTCAATCATATTGTCGGATCATTTGGTCATCAATCTTCCTTTTATACTTCGTCCCTTTCTTCTTTTCCTTGTCTTGGTCCTACTTCTTAAACATTTTGGTATTAGAATATCTAGTTTTGCGCCAATATGATTTTGTCAAAGTTAAAAGTCGCATTTCATCCAGTTTTTATTTGTATCACAATTTGATTTCGGTATTAGAATATCTAGCTTCCTCTAATTGTTAAAAAATTTTATCATGTGCCTAGGGCAAAAAAGATGCTATCCGCAAGTATGAAAAGTCCTGCATGATATTTTTTATAGGTAAAAGAATATAACTAATGTATGACATATTTACAATCATATAACTATAGAATGTCAAAAAAATTTACTAGTTTGTTTAATTCCCCCTTTTAAAAAAATATACCAAAGCACGTGAAGCTTCCACTAAGGTTTTTAAGCACCAAAGTTGATATGCACTAATATATTTTTCATCAGTATGTTTCTGTTTTTATTATTATGGAGAAAATTATTCTTTCCTCCAAGGGGAGTACCTGGAGGATAATTGCATTTGGCCATGATGCAATAACTTGGTGCTCAAAAATTCTGGCTGTTGTGGATTAATTGTAAAAATATGGATTTATAAATAATAAAAAAAGAAAGAAAAGAAAAAAGAATCTTAAAAATATGGATTATGTGGATGCTCTCTGAGGTCTCTTGGTGCATCTAGGCATCTACAGATGGGAGATCGACTTTGATCCATGCCTTCATTTTATTTTTTTAGGATATCATACACAAGCTTCAGTTCAGAACTTTTTTATGAACTGTTTCGATATGGCAGTTCATGCATCTGAAAAACACTACCTGCTTCTTTCGCCCCCCTCAAAAAAAAATAAAAAATAAAATAAATGAATAAAATGACTTGTATTTGTTGTAATATTTAATTCATACATGATTGAAAACATTTATTATTTCAGAATTTTTTTTGGACAAGTAACATTTGTTATTTCAGATAAAAAAAAATATAGACTCTATTACCCTGCAAGATGCTATTGAGTTGCTGCACTAGCCTGCAACATTGGTATGTCTTCATCTAAATACTCGTTTTTTAAATTTTTTTTATTTATCATTGTCAAACTCAGTTTTCCTGTATCTATGTTAGGGAAACCATCCTGATGATGGCCAGCCAGTTGTATTGAAGCTTGAAAAGTTTGGATTTTCCATTAGACATCGACACACAATCGTGCCTGTACCTGAGGTATATCTTTCTTTGTTAAGCATGTCTTTATTAAATAGTTATGGTATTTTCCAACTCTTTTTCTTCACTAAATTCAGCTTGAATCTCCTATTGTAGTACTCATTTGAGTATGAGAAGTATCCACAGCAAGTTTAACTAATAAGCTATTGGCCACCATATTAGCCTCCTATAGCAAAACCTTACAAATGGGTTCTTAAAACTAGACAGCTGGTGTATATAGGTCAATTCTCAGCCATACATAGTTCGGAGTATTTTTATCAATTTGTGAAGTAGGTATAGGAGTTGGATGGGCCAGAAGCCGAAATCTGCCCTTAAATGTGGCACTTGGGGGTAGGTGTATTATTTTAGATGAATATGAACACCTAATACTTATAAAAAATTGAATATGAACACCTAGTACTTATTAAAAAATTAGATATGAAACACCTAATGGAGAACTATGTTAATACATATATAGGAAGTGTTATTTATGTAGTGAAATATCTGCCGTCACTGTCATTTTGAGGTCCCAAAATAATGAGAAGACACTGTCAAAGACACTGAATACTGAACAAGTTGTGCAGACAGCGATGAAAAGAATTACTAAAGCGTTATATGAAAGTTTGTGAAACATAACTTGAGTAATAATTTGGCAAAACAAAAGAATGAATTTCCAGCATGAAATGCTTGTCACGTAACGACAGGCCTGAGTTGTCTATATGTCTTAAATATTGATTAAATTACACATGATGAACCATGCACATATGCTATACTTTTAACTATCAAGTACCAACCAATTGCACGTGTATTTATTTGTGAGATTGCCTTTTTCCTTTTCCTGTCTTCCCCTTGTGAGCTGGGAAGATTGAATCTCAAGGGTCCTGCCATAGACATATTCTGTTCTTGATTTCAGAGACCAAATTTAAGGCAAAACGGGCAAATATTAAGCCTCTCCAAAACAAGGAGGGAAATGAAAAAAATAAGAATGGAAAGGAAGAAAGAAACATACAACTATTGGGAGTATTTTTGGCTTTTGCAAAAGCAATGTACAACTTTTCCAAAGTATTGGACCCTCGGAAATGCTTTAGCGGCAGAACTACAGCTCTGCTAGAGGGCTGCCCTCTTAAACTAACAAGAAGAGAAAGTTATGACCTACTGGAATAATCCAGTTGGCTGGAACACCTACATCTCATTAGGAGGTCAAGATTTTAAGTCTTGTCACAGGCAAGACTCCCCTTAGGCTACAGCCTCCAATGTACCCAAAAAAAAGAAAAATATAGACTATTAATTTAAATAATAAATATATGAATAAACCTTTAGGAGTGCAGTCATAAGGTTTGAGTAGATTGGCCGATCTGCATACTGTATTATACATTGAATTTAGTGGGTTTATAATTAAATGAACCGTTAGGAGTGCAGTAATAGGATTGAGTAGGCGGGCTAATATATGGACAAACAGCTGCACGCTGTATGATACATTGAATTTGGTGGGCGTATAATTAAATAAACCTTTAGGAGTGATGCATTGAATTTGGTGGGCTTATAATTAAATAAACCTTTAGGAGTGTAGTCATAGAGATTGAGTGTTGTTTGGAATGGATATGTGATATACATTTAGTGATGTCCGAGGAATGCAAATCATTACTGGCAAACAATTATTTTCCCTTGAACTCAACTGGTGAATTCCTCTTGTAAATCTTCCCATCATAAATGTTTTAAAATTTGGATTAAGTGGATGGAAAATTGGATCAAGAATTGGGAAAAAAAAAAAAAAGAAAAATCTTTTCACAAACTCAAGTGCAGATTTGTGATATTAAGATCTTTAAAATGCATATCAAGCAAATTTGATGTGGATTCACTGTGTTGGTGAGATTATTACTTCTTGATTAGCTTTTGTATTTGTTTTCCTATGCTGGTTCAATACATACACGTTTTTCTTGCTTCCGAGAGACTGCTGTTTGAACCTTAAGTCTGTATTTTTTAATTGAATTTGTTTCACATCAAAAAAGAAGAGAAAAAAAAATAATACACGCATAACATTCACCCTAATTGGTAAACCATGTTAAACTTACTGCCCATCCATGATGCAAAGATTTAGTGCGACTTGGAAAGTTTGCATGAGATTGTGAGTCAAAGTTTTCAGATCCCAACTCCATTGTCTACTAGTAGAAGGGGAAACAGAAACGAAACACACTGTAACTTGAAAGATCCAAAGAGGCAAGTACAGCTCGGAAGAAGTCTAATGAATAGTCTAATGAACAGTATACATCTCAGTTACTTGTTGAGATGGGGTGGAGCAGAGGAAAATTCTTTTTAAAAAATATTCTCTGGTCCCTGTTCAGATTATTTCATTCAGAGTGCATATTATTTGTTTTGATAGTCACTTTTTTCCATTCATATATTTGTCATCTTTGAGAATTCTTATTTTGTTAAACTTGGTTTTCATCTATTTAAACCTTCTGTACAGAACTTGAAGCCGAATGATATAACCTTTGAGAAAGCATTAGAGCTTTTGTTGGGTAAAGATGTAAAATGATGTGGCTGAGCCAAGAGCAAACCAAAGCTTGAAGGGGTTGTTGAGGAGATATAGGCATGACATATTCTACGAGGCCGGGTACAAGAAATTTAAAGTCTCTGCAATTGGTATGCATATATAAAGACATCCCATTTGTGGCATCTCCTCCAGTTCTTCCATTGGTGAGGTTTGAACAGAGCCCATACAGGTTGGATCTATCCCACACAGACATATCTAATGGCAGGAAATGTAGTGTAATGGAAGTTAGTAGTAGCCAATTTTGTTGTAATTCACGAATAAGCTTTTAAGTAATATTTAATGTAGTGTTACTTGGATTCCCTTTGATTTGGCAAAAAAATTCTTTACAAAGATATTTAATAAAAAAATGTTCTTTGTAGATCACATTTTTTTATGTTTGGTTGCAACCTTAAAACTAATGTGCTGGCTAGTGATTGTATTAGTAGCGGTGAAGGTGGTTGTGTTGGTGGTGCTGGTGGTGGAGGTGGAGGGGCAAGTGGGTGGGGGTGGCGGTGGTGTAGTGGCAACATTAGTAAGATTTAGTTGGGAAAACGTTATCACTTTCAAAAATAAAACATGTTTTTTTTCCAAATGAGTTTGTTTTGAATTTCTGTTAAATTTTTTAGAATGTCAAAAAATAAAAAATATTTTTCAAAATATGTTTTCGGTCAAACAAACGGAACGTTAGGATGGGATAGGGACAATTTTTGAACAAATTGTACTCTTACATCTACCTATTATATTATTTGGATCACATATTGTAAATAGTTCATTAATTCATTGCAACTACTTGGACCCAGGGCAGAAAAACTTAAAAGAGTCATTACTATTGTACACTTAGGCCATGTTTGATTTCACAATACTAATAGTGAGGTATTAATAATCCAATTAAATTAGTGTGGTATTCACAATCCCACCCCTACCCCATTACTAATAATCCTACAAATTTGTTGGATTAATTATCCATTGGATTGATAATCCTAAAACAAAATGTCAAAACAAACATAGGATAATTGGGCCCGCGGATTAATAATTCCAATCACATACTCTAATCCTTCCAATCAAACATGCCATTATTGTACTTAGTACGACAGTGGCTTGTGCAGTTTTGCACTGATGCAAAAACTGTAGGGATGTTGCAATTACGTAGAGTCAAGCAAGTGTCTGAATCCAAAAGGCCTTTGGTTGTTGCAGTCAACCAGTGCAAACCCCGAATATTTCATCATTACAATACCTTTGACAGAACCCAATGCGACTCTCAACCCTTGAATCCGTGCCATGACTGCATTTGAGATTGCCATATATGATGTTTGTGATGACACTGTACTCGGGAACCCAACTTGCTGATTGGTCAGCTGTAGACGGCATCCAAGTTTCGGTGATGACCGTGTGGCACGAAGGCTTTAGTGATTGTGGGGTCATCCAGAACTATAAGGCTATCTTGAATGAGATGATCAGGTCAGTTTCTACTAGATCAGGGTTGTTTAGGAGATCCAACCCTAAGGTCTCTCCAACTTGTCCATAGTTGTAATTGCTGAAATTTAATATCAAAACATAAAGTCAAAATATGCAATGAATTTAATCAGCATAAAATGTTGACTAGTTATTAAAATTGCAAAAGCAAAAAATATTAGGTGAGTCAAAAATTTCAGTTCAATCGTGTGGTGGTTTAATGGCATGCAGTCATGTGGTAATTTTGTTTATATATTTTTAGAAAATGGTCACATACCCCCTTATTAGCAAGTAGATATGATGTTCCCAAAATATTAGATTACTTTATCAAAAAAAGTAAAATCTTAGATGACTATATTGCTAAGAGCATCTCCAATCATTATTGCTATAATGCTATTGCTATAATTTGACAATGAATAGTGTTATTTTGCCAAATTATAGCAATGGTGCTCCAATGGTCATTTGCTATTTTTAGCAAATCTTAACCAACTTTTCCTCCAAGTTTGTAGGTGTTGTTTGGATATAAATTTTTTTGTGATTTTATTTTTGTTTATTTTGTCTTTTGTGATATTTTTTTACCTGTTTGTTAAAAAAATTATATATTTATATTATTCCCAACTAGACAAATATAAAAAATAAAAAAAATGAAAAATTGGAAAAAAAAAATTTGTTTGATTAATTCACCCCACCAAAAAACATATCACTACATATTTAATAAATTTTTTTAACTACGCATAAAAAATAAACAATCACCAACTACCCACCAACAACCAACCACCAACAACCATCCAAATTAAAAATTAAATGACATTGCTAAATTTAAAAATACATTATCCCGTAATTATTCATCAGGAGGCATGGGAAAATAGTAATTTAGGCTACTGACATTTGAGGATCACTTGGTGAAAATCTCATTTTTCCGCATTGCGTAATATGCTTTTGTCTGAGGGTCTAAAAGAGAAATGTCCGTAGTCATTATCTCATGTTCTTCTTTTCTGATCTCAAGTTCTTTCATTTCTTGCAGTGCTTGAATCCTTTTTTCTTCTCTTTCATCTTTTTTCTTTTCCTTCTCAACAAGGTGTTAGTTAAATGTCTCCAATTGTATGCTCATTTTTTGGACTTCAAATTCAACCACTTGATTCCTCCGAAATAATTCTTTTGAAGCTTTCCTACGCATAGGCTTTTTACCCCTTGCAGAGACACTGCCCTCACCGACAGTTGGATTGTTACTAACACTTGGACTGGTGTCATCTTCAAGAGAAATGCAGTTATCCATAGGGGATCGGGGGCTGAATCAGTGAAAAATGGTGTATGTATCCTTGACTTCACCGTATTCGTAGGAGCTACATCTTGCCACCTGATATTGTTTTGCAAGATTGACCAACAATGTTCAAAAGCAAAATGTTTCTTTTCATCTTGATGGTATAAAAGTTTTGCTTGAAGCATCTGTATCAATAAAATATTAAATTAAGTAATTATTTAATTTTTATATGAGACGAAATAACATAAAATAAAAAACTAACATAATAAATGAAAATGAAATCTTACTAGATCAACTTGAGACATCCCACTTAGGTGTAGATTTTCGACTTGCGCTAAACATCTACAAAATTTGTTAGAACATTTCGTGATTGTACCCCACCGAGATTGGATAGAAACTTGTGTTCTTGACTGATCATTCTGAAGGGAGCAATAATTTGCATAAATTCTCCCCCAAAAGTGAGCATAAGATTGTGAATTACTAACAATTGGGTCTTCAGAAATGTGACACCAAGCTTTACAAAGTGCCATATCTTCAGCAATGGTGAATGATTTTCCTCTCTTTATTTTTGATGAATCTTCCATACCGAATGTGTAAAGAAAATATAAATAAAAATGTAATTTAGAAAGTTTGTTGTGAAATGAAATTGAGTAAAAACATAGGAGAAAAGGTTTGTATTTATAGAAGAAAAAAAAAGCCATTTTTTTATAGCCGTTTTAACATAAAAATATGATCGTTTATATCCGTAGTGGATATGTTTCACTTATGTTTTTATTTAATTTTTAATGAATAAAGTAGCACACTTGGATCTCAGTCGTTGGATTGTTATTAATCAACGACTGAGATTAATCATGTGTCTGTGTGAGAGAGAGCTTCGAAACACTTCGGATAAACTTCAGATAAACTTCAGAGAGAGACTTTACAGAAGATCAGAGAGAGAGAGAGCTGCGAAACTTCAGAGAGAGAAATAGCACACTTCAGATAAACTTCAGAGAAGATTAGAGAGAGAGAGCTTCGAAACACTTTGGATCAGTGAAGATCACTTCGAAACACTCCTGCCCATTAATCAACGGCTGGTTCTCGCCTTCTCTCTCTTCTTGTTTCTTGGATTAGTGAAGATCAGAGAGAGAGCTTCGGAACAATGATTTTCAGAAGATCATCCTTCTCTCACCCGAAGCTCCCATCTTCTCTCACCCGAAGCTCTCTCTCTCTCTCTCTCTCCTTCGGATCAACCTTCTCTTATCCACCACCAGATCATCCACCTTCGGATCAACCTTCTCTCATCCAGGTATTTTTCTTGATGAATTTGTGAATATCGATATTGGAGAATTTGTGAATATTGGAATATTGGAGAAATTGATATTGATGAATTTGTGAATATTGGAGATTCTTGTTCATTGCTGAAATTCTTTGATGAATTTGTTCATTGATTCTTTGAATATTTGGAGATTCTTGTTCATTGATGAATTTGTGATATTGCTAAAATTCTTGATGAATTTGGTATGAATATTGATGAATTTGCTGAAATTCTTGTTCATTCTGATTAATTTGTGATGATTTCTATTTTAAACGACATAGTGAATTTCGTTTCTTTAAAAAAAAACTTCAAGCATTATGGAAAATCTCAACTGAAAGGGAAGGAGGGAAGGAGAAAACAGTTTAATTTTGGGTGACTTGGCAGATTTGGCAGCTGCCAAAGTAGCTGCCAAATTTGGCAGCTGTTATAGCATGCCATTGGAAAAGTCAAGATTTCCCAAACTGCTATATTATGGCTTTGGCAGCTGATTTAGCCATCCATTGGAGATGCTCTAAGCAAGGGTACGGTGACTAGAAGCATATCGATACTAACTTTTTGTTTTCAAAGGGAATGCATTCATCCCCGAATTCCACAGCTAGCGATAATTGGATTCTTGGAGAGTATAGCAAACCTATATATTTCAGAGATAAGGTGCCGATGGCTAGCAGAGCTTCTTGATGGCACAATCAAGCTACCCAGCATTAAAGAGACGGGAAAAGATGTATTGGAATGGGATAAATACATGACGCGATAATCTGACAAGTACTATCGGAGATCTTGCATTGGTACCCTTCATATAGGTACAATGATCAACTCTGCAAGGACATGGAATGGAACCCTAAGAGGAAGAAGGGATTCATTGCCGAGTTGATTGACCTTACGACCCAACGGATTATGCTCAACCTTAAAGCTAAAGCTCCAGGTGCGCTAAAAAAGGGTGTTGGTGTTCTATGGGTGGCTTAATTATTTCATTTGGTTTTCTTTCCTTGTAAGAGGACTTCTTGTCCTCCCTTTGTGTCTCCATTTTCATTATTAATAAACACTTTTTGTTGCTGATCTAAAAAAAAAAAAAAAAACCAACCATGAATGAAGTTGGAGAACTGGAAATTATGTTCCTAGTAAACAAACTAGGATTCAAAAAACCATGACCACAGCTAGATTTCGAAAATGCATACATCCAAACTGAACCAACAATTTCTTTCGGTTAAACCGTCGAGGCTTAATGAGAGAGAGAGAGAGAGAGAGAGAGAGATTTCCAAGACTATTAGAAGGATTCTCATTGTAATATTTGAAAACCAAAAAGTGGGCATCAATTTACATATAGTTTCACTTTCTGGTGTTGAGAGAGACAGAGAGAGAGATTTCCAAGGCTCTGGTAAAAGTATTCTCGGAAAACCAAAAAGTGGGCATCAGCCCACAAGACTAAATCATCAAATAGCATTACTCACCATTTTAGATAGGAATCAGGGATTACAAGTCATACTTAAAGAATAGATAATGACAAGCAATAGATTCCTGAATCCTGATTACACCCATCTCAAGCATTGATGCAAGATAGGTAAAAATTAGTAAATTAGTGACAATGGCAAAAACAAGACAAACAGGTAAAAACAGTAGGAAAAGCAACAACAAAAAGGCAGATTGTTTCAACTAATATAATACAGAGAAAGCAATGAACAAAAAACTACCAACCTCAGATCCCTTCCAAGTCCTGAAGCAGAAACCACCATGGACCATTTTTGGATGATATTCTGAACATGCAAGTGGAATAACAATTAATATCTATTGAAAAAAAGTAAAAAAAAAAAAAAAGAAAAAAAAAAAAGCGAAAGAAAAGAGAGGACCAATAAATATACTATCCTAGTGAAAAATGCAAGAAAAACGCAGCACAGTTCTTCAATAACAATGTCATCAAAATTGCACTAGAAAGCAGTACCAAAAATTTGAGCATGCCTTTAAACCACAAATATGTTCATGAAATTATTTATCGGAAAACCAACTCTAAACAACATAACCAATGCCCTATCTCTCATATTACACCAGTTTTCAATTAAACTGAAATGGAGGTTCATGGTAAAAATAGAATAATCACGTCATAGACAAGAAAACACGAATTGCAAATAGAAATTTTTAAGAGACAACAGGCATGCCATAATATCCTACAGTTTACCTGATATATCCTGCCAACATATGCAGCCCCATAAAAGAAGCCAAGACTGCCCACACACCACGAAGACCAAAAATTGAAGGAACATATAGCAGAAATGCAAAAGATATTGCCCCTACCACCATCTGTAATTTATTTAAAAATTGTTAATAGAGGCCATTGTACAATCTTCACAGCCAGCTAATAACATCACAGAGAAATTTAACTGTATAAGCTTACTATGGAACAAGCTGCATATGGGAAGTCTGAAACACCATAATGGAGACCATCAAAAATAAAAGCTAGAGCATTTACAGGTTGGCTGGCACTGACAAAATGTAACAATTTCAGGAAACGCCACACAAGAAAGATCTTAGCACTTGACCATTCAGATAAACTAACAAAAATTGATAGATAGGATGACATGGCGAGCAAACATACCAAAACCCCAGTTCTGACAACTCTTAAGACTTCAGCATCCTTAGTGAATAAGGTGGCTAAAGAACCAAAAGATAAACCCAAAATTGCAGCCAAGGAAACCTTGTGAGCAATCCTATCTGCAAAAACATGTGAATAAGATTTGAACCACTATCAAGAAATATTGCAATTCCAACACAAAGAGCCTAAACACCTAGTAAACCTAAAATTCATTTGGTCCCAAGTAGAAGAATGTCGAAGCATAATGGGGAGGCATACAGGAATGACTAACCTTTAACGCAAAGTTTACAACCTCCCTCAAAGTTCTGTAATCACCTTTTGAAGAAGAACTTGCAATCAAGGCCTACAAGAAACACAAATTTGATTTCAGAGAGGAAAAACACACACTAAACTCTGTAGATGCACAGTTTCTTTTCCTAGTGACAATTCTGGCAATTTTGAGTGGAGTCAGCATCAACAAGCAACGTCCCATCCTAACTCAGATAATATGACCATATAGATTGTAATGAGACCACAAGTCCAAACAAGTACATATGTATTGGGAGAGCATATATCAAACAATCTTTACAAACAAAATTTTGTACCTGACCAGATGCCACCAATGCATCTGTGAGGAGAGATACAGCCAACCATACTTGTAAGCATATTTGATGAGCAGCCATAGCTACTGTAACGCCCTCAAAAAATACATAAAACCCATCATTCTTGGCATGCAACAATATAAGGAAAATAAACATCTTTCTATTTATCAGAGTAATTCTTACAAAAGTATTACATGTTGACAACAAAAGTAAACGCCCTAAAAGCTTACAACTTTCCAAGCCAACACTTGGTTACAAGAAATGAGTACTAACTCATATACATATTAAGCCCTTGGCTTGAATTTACATATAATACATCAAAAGAAAGCAATCCAACAAAAGTCTGCCTACCTCTAGCCTCCCAAGCTATGTCCTTGGAGGTGGCATGCTGCCTGTACCTGAAAATGATGTACCATATAGGGTGAGCCACAGCCCAGTAGAAATATACTAAACCAACTATAAACAATAACTAAAAGATTAGCAGTTGATAGATAGTCAACACTTATATTCCAACTCATATCATATTACAGTTTCATGACAATCACGTCCATGCTACATTTCCTTTTTCCATTTCTCATTCGACTTTAAGTTCAAAAATAAGGCTCAGATCCTGGCCAACCAGTTTAATGAGATTATAATTCATCATTAAAATACTTTCGAAAATCATGACGGATACACATTTCGATGCCGTATCAGTAACACATGATATCACTTCCATACTTCACACATGATACACATTTTGGTGCTGTATCAAATAAACATAGAAACATTTCTATACTTCACAATTGATAATGATATACATTTTAGTGCTATATCAAATCAAACAATCACTTCCATACTTCACAATTGCTACACATTGTAGTGCTGTATCGATGTCAAGCAGTTTCCGGTTTAGAGGTCCATCCCCTAAGCCGTGGACTACATCCCCTATCTCCTCCCACATAACACAATGTATATAAACAATTATCATATACATAATCAATCAATACATAAGATTAATGTATTATTCCAACCGTCATATTCGATGACACATTCAATTGATTAGTTTTAGTTTGCCTAATCAGTATGCATTATCTACAACAATCAAGACTATCCTCCACCGATAGCCCAAAGCAATTATTTCTAAACAGAAAATAAATGCATCAAATGGACATAATATCGACATTTTGACTAGGTGAGCGATAAACAAATCCAACTCCATGTTCCTTTTCCCATAATTCAAACAACAACCCTAAGGTTCCATTTTCATCAATAATCCAACATTTATTCCTTTTCTCAATGTATTACATACATGTGGGTTTATATATATGAAAACCCCATCTTTTGAAAATTACATCATGATCCCAAACTTTCTCAAAATTACCCAACAACCCCCAACATATCAAAATGCTAAAATTTAAAGACAAAGCTCATAAGATGGAGTAGGATATCCCTACCTCGAAGTTAGAGCTCAAAATGAGAAGAAGACCAAAACCAAAGTGCTCCAAATCCACAAATTTTCGGATCAAAAGGAAGCCCTCGACGATCAACACACTTTTTACAAAGGCGAAAGGTTAGGAAAACACTCTAGCTAGATCAAACCCTAGAGAGAAGGGAGATTCTAGAGAGAGGAGCTCTCAAAAACGTTTTTGGAAAAGTAAGAGAGAGAAAGCGTGTTGAAAAAGTGATCCAAAAAGTGAAATCTCGGACTGATATAATCGACTTCTCGCTCGAGCGTGGAAACCCCCGCTCGAGCGTCAGACACAGATTCACGCTCGAGCGTCCAAAGCGCCGCTCAAGCGTCGATTGCACACCTGCAGAAGTTTTGCAGACATGGTCCCCGCTCGAGCGTCCAAACTCCCGCTCGAGCATCCGACGACCTGCAGAGAAAAATACTAGGAGATGAGAATTCACGCTCGAGCGTCAAAACTCCCCGCTCGAGCGGGAGAAGCAACAACGAAGGGCCCGCTCGAGCGTCAAAAGCCCCGCTCGAACGTGAAGGCCAAATTCTGGGCATCAACTCTAGGTTTCCAAACACAACCAACCTGTTTCAAACCTGCCCAACACAACCCAAGACTCAAATATAAAGAGTAAAGAATGGAAATGAGAATGAGACAACAACACATCCACGGAACCGAGTCCGGAATACAATAAATAAAAGAAGGAAAACTGGGATCGCTATAACCTTCCCCCCTTAAAGAATTTCGTCCCCGAAATTAAGTACAAGTTTTCAAAAACAAGTTTTTCTCAATTCTCAACAATATTACAATTCATTACTCACCCATCTGACCCATTACCGGTCATTCCATCTCTATTCAAGAGGCATTTCACAATATAACTCAATACGTATTATTAGCATGCTTTTCCTCGAAATTCAACGATTTCAACATTTATTCCACAATTTCCATATCATATTCAATATTCATGATATATTCCATTTTTACAATACATTCAACGTATACAATGTTACAATAACTTCCATTTCGAGGCAAGTTTCAAATTATCTCTATAAACCAAAACATACACAATGTTTTACAACTTAAGACATATATAATGCTCTTAAAGTTCACTAACATTACAAAATCCCAATACAAGGTCAAGCATTTACAAACAAGTCCAGATATTTCTCACGGACATCCACCTCACGTTCCCAAGTGGCTTCTTCCACTCTGTGATGTTTCCACAAAACTTTTACCAAGGGAATGATCTTGCCTCGCAAGACTTGATCCCTTCTATCCAAGACCCGAACCGGTCTCTCCTCATATGAGATATCCTCGTCAACCTCCAAATCGGTCCAATCTAGCACATGGGACGGATCTGGTTCATACTTCCGAAGCATACTAACATGAAACACGTTATGTAACCCGGATAACTGCGGCGGTAAGGCTAAACGATACGCAACCTCCCCAATCCTCTCAAGGATCTCAAAGGGACCAATAAACCAAGGGGATAACTTTCCACTCTTCCCGAACCTCATCAAACCTCGTCTAGGTGATATTTTTAGAAAAACATGATCACCCGTTTCAAATGCCAAAGGCCTCCTCCTACGATCGGCATAACTCTTATGGCGACTCTGGGCTGTAACAAGCCTCCTACGGATAAGCTCGACTTTCTCTGTTGTTTCCCTCACCAACTCCGGGCCCAACAACGGTGCATCACCCACCTCGGCCCAACAAACTGGAGATCTACAAGGTCGGCCATACAAGGCCTCAAACGGTGCCATACCGATACTCGACTAGAAACTGTTGTTGTAGGCAAATTCCACCAAGGGCAAGTGCCTCTCCCACGACCAACTAAAGTCAAGGACACAACTTCGAAGCATATCCTCAAGGATCTGAATAGTATGCTCGGACTGTCCGTCAGTCTGAGGATGATAAGCCGTGCTAAAGGTCAACTTAGTGCCCAAGGCACTGTGCAAACTCTACCACAACCTAGCAGTAAAACGAGGATCTCTATCTGAGACGATCGTCACTGGGACCCCGTGCAACCTCACTATGTCCCGAATATACAAATCGGCTAGATGATCTACCGAATCTTTCACGCGCATAGGGATAAAGTGCGCTGACTTAGTCAACCGGTCTACAACCACCTAAATAGCATCACTACCCTGCTGAATCCTCGGAAGACCTACAACGAAGTCCATAGTGACATGCTCCCACTTCCACTCGGCAATAGGCAAGGGTTGCAACAAACCCGCTGGCCTCTGATACTCAGTCTTCACTTGCTGACAAGTAAGGCACTTAGACACAAAAACTGCCACATCTTTCTTCATACCCTGTCACCAAAACTGGCGACCCAAATCACGATACATCTTGGTGCCTCCCGGATGCACTACAAGACGTGAATGGTGAAACCCTCGGAGTACCTCCTCTCGGCAAGCCTTCGGCACAAACAGACGGTCTCGATATCTCACACTCAGGTCGGGATACACAGACAAACCCTTCTCAGTCTTCCCACTGGAGATCTTCTCTCGGATGGACTCTACCGCAAGGTCACCTCTTTGTGCCTCTAACACTCAACTCACAAGTGTAGGTTGCGCAACCACAGAAAACAGAGTCGCAGCCTCAACGGATTCGCCCAGAAGCAAATCAAACTCCTCAAGTGCACCTAACATTTCCCACTCCCGGATGGCTATACAAGCTACATCACTAATGGATTTCCTACTAAGGGCATCGGCCACAACATTGGCCTTACCCGGGTGATAGTGCAACTTGAAATCGTAGTCCTCAATGAACTCCATCCACCTCATCTGCCTCAAATTCAAGTCTCTCTGTGTAAACAGATACTTCAGACTCTTATGATCCGAGAATACCTCGAACCTCTCACCATAAAGGTAGTGCCTCCAAATCTTCAATGCAAAAATGACAGCTGCTAACTCTAAGTCATGTGTACGGTAATTCCTCTCGTGAATGTTCAATTGACGTGAGCCATAAGCTACCACTTTTCCCTCTTGCATCAACACACAACCCAAACCCTCTCGTGAGGCATCACAGTAAACCGCATAACCCAAACCTCTCTCTGGGATAATCAAAACCGGAGTGGTGGTCAATCTAACCTTCAACTCTTGGAACGACTTTTCATAAGTCTCATTCCATACAAATTTAACTCCCTTCCGAGTCAATCTAGCCAACGGCGAAGCTAGCCTGGAGAAATCCTTCACAAACCGGCGGTAATACCCAGCTAATTTCAAAAAATTGCGGATCTCAAAAACATTTTTAGGCTGTGCCCAATCCTGCACTGCCTCTATCTTGGATGTATCAACAGACACCCCTTCCCCGGAGACCACATGGCCTAAGAACTTAACTTCTCCTAGCCAGAACTCACATTTTCCAAACTTGGCATACAGCCTATGGGCTCTAAGCAACTCAAGCACCACTCTCAAGTGTTCCTCGTGCTCTTCTTCAGAAGGTGAATAAATTAGAATGTTGTCCATGAAGACGACTACAAAACGATCCAAGAATTCCTGGAATATCCAGTTCATCAAATCCATAAACACTGCCAGTGCATTGGTGAGCCCAAATGGCATCACCAGAAACTCATAGTGGCCATACCGCGTACGGAATGCCGTCTTCGAAATATCCTCCTCCCTGACCCTCAACTGG